AGATTGGCCACGGACGCTTTTCCGCAAAAAGTGCTTTTGCAGAAAAGCGTCCTGCCAATCTAGACGCGCTCTTCCAAAAATGCTTTTAACGGAAATCTTTTCCGTTAAAAGCATTTCCGGAAAATCATGCCAGTGTAGACGTAGCCCCAGTGTTTAAAGGCAGAGCTGACTAAAATCAATTGAGAGTCCTTGTCTTGTCTCAGTGATCGCTTGAGCAACAATCACTGATAAAATCTTGTGTAGACTGACCTTGGACTCAACATGCAGGCAATGTGTTGAATGGCAGTGCAAAGAAGGCAGTGGTGGTGAAGTACCATATTAGCTAGTGAAACCAGTGGTGCTGAAATCACTAAGGACTGGAATTTGACCACAGAACTGACACTTTCTTAACAAAGACTCCATTTTTGCTATTTACTTAGCAAAAGTATTTTGCTTTACTTGCTATAAAGTAAATCGTAACAGAAAACTGCAACGCTCTGTGGTAACTTTTTAAAAATCAAACTTTAAACTTTATTGAAAAGATTGGATAGTTTGCAATTGAAAATATTTGACCTACACTTAAGGCAACTGATTTAATTTTGTGTAAAATTTTGCATAATAGAGGATGGCATTTTTTTTTTTAAATGATATACATATTGATATACATTTTGATCAGATGTACTTCAGATCAGATCAGATCTACTGATATTTGTGTGTGGTTGTTCTTTGTTGTGTGGGTGCTTTTTTTTTCTCAACAAAAAAATCCTGGATGGGGGGGAGGCGCCAAAACTGTTCGAATTGGGCTCCACACTTCCTAAAGCCAGCCCTGGCTGCTGCCTGAGGCTATCTGAGGCTTGTGCTTAAAGGGACCCCCACCCGGGGCAGCCGGTTCTCAGCTTTCCCTGCTTGCTTGCCTACCTTGATGAGGGACAGCAAAGCATTTGTGTCTATGCGAGCTCTGGTTGCCCTCACTCGGGACACCACAGCACTCTGCAACATGAAGCCGGAGCGGCCCTTGGGCACTCTGGTGCTTCTCGTGAATGCGTTGCTGTGAGCCTGGCTGCACTTTCTGCAGGCTGCCATCCAGGAGGTCCATCAGGGGGCTGTCAGTATCCAGGAGGCCCTGTGGGAGAGCTTCCACACTGAGGAGCACTAAGAGCCTTCCTGGTCTGCCCCACTGGGCTTGTGCCTCATTCCTCCCCCACTTCATTCCACTTACCCTCCCAGCCCCCCTTCCTGATGTCAAATAAAGTACACGTATTTTCATAAACACAAACTCTCTTTATTTAACAAAATGGGGGGGGGGAGGGATGAAACTGGTGAGACTGGAGAAAGGAGGTAGGAGAGGGGAGGAAAGAGGGTGGGAGAGGGGAAGGGGAAACCTGGGAGGAGGGAGATGGAAGGGGGAACCAAGGGGAAGAAGGGGGAGGGGAAGCTCAGGGTTGGGGGTCTTGCTGGACCAACTTGATTTTCATGCGAACCTGCTCCTGGGTTCGCATGTGGCCTTTGGTGGCCAGGCTGGCAGCTATCTTGTCATAGACAGCCACGTTCCTTCGTCCAGTGCAGAAATCATGGACATTGGGGTTATCCCCCCCCAAACCTGAGTAATGTCCACCCTGATCTCCACCCTAGACCAGGAAGGCATCCGCCTTCTCCAGGCCCTGTCAGGCTCCTGGGAGCTGACAGGCTGTTCCTGGGGAGCGGTGGAGGGCTGGCTGCCAGTGGCTTGCTGGCTCATGTTTTGGGGCCACTGG